GGGGGGGGAATCCCTACGCGGTAGGTGTTTTTTGTGTGACGCTGCGACGTGTCCAGTCTTTGGTTCTCCTTCTTGACACTTCAGCGTGGCATCTGCCTGGTGAAAGTCAGTTTTACAGGGAGAGGGGTAATTTCCGTCGAGTAGCACTTATCGGAGCGTGACTCAATGCCCTAAAAGGGTGAAACTTCGTCAAAATGTCCAGTGAGGTTTCTTACCAAAACTCTTTGTTTATTTGACGCTTTTTTTTTTTTTTTTTTTTTTTTTTTTTTTTTTTTTTTTTTTTTTTTTTTTTTTGTTTTCTTCGTTTTTTTTTTTTTCTTTTTTTCTGCGGTAGTGACGTTTTCGTCGAATTATTGTCCCCGGTAGGAGGAGAGGCGTGGGAACTACATCGAGACACAGGAAGAGAACGGGAAATAGGTAGCAGATCGACAATGTAACATGACGGTAACCAAATTATGAACTACACACGACGACGTACGATAAAGGCGTATAGTATCCAATAAATTAAAAACCGATACAAATATTTACGCGTACAAAGGAAGTTTACACCACAAATCCGATTCTCGAGTTTAGGCCACGGTATAAATTTCGTAAAACCTTCGTAATTAACAATTTTTTACAAGTAGTACACGTAGCAGGGAGAGAAGTTTATTTCGCTAATCTGCTGACTTTTACTTTACTGCTCAGACTTTTCCTCCGGTTTTTTCGGAGGTTCTCGGTAGTTATCTTTACATGTCAAGGGTCTTATCGTTGGAATTCATTGTCTTATGTTGTTTACTTTATTTATATGTTTTTTAATTCTCTTTTTCTGTCCGTTTAATTGTTTATCACCAGCTATTTTGTGTTACTGCCGGGGACACAGTGCAAAAGCGATACCTTCTCCACCACAAGGGAAATTTCCCACGACGTGGGTCCCGACGGGGCGTAACAAAGAACTAGCGTGGAGTACACGTCACAGGAGAAGAGAGAACGATCACACAATACGATTTTCTTTTCCTCGGGTCCGTACGTTACGCAAAGAAGTACAGTTTGAACGATAGATTCGGCTAGAAGTGGTTCATACGTCTTTCACTCCAATGTTCTGCGTACTGTCTTCATCTAAAAACCACGAATAAAAACTTAGAGGTAAGCTACAATTGACAAACTTCGACGTACGTAGGCTTCTAGCAGGCATTGCGGAATTGCGTGCTTGATCTATATTGAATTGATAAATTATTGTCTGACCGATTTAGAGTTATTGGAATTGAACTTATTTATCTTTTCCGTCTCTAAAAATCTCCTAAGTTTGTTAATACAACCACACATTAGGTAACTTTAAACTAGTCGTTAAGAAAACATACATAAGCGAGCAAATTATCAGAGTGTTTTACTTTCCGCCTTACACATATTACCATCGCATATAGGTACACAACCGTAGTGGTTAATTAATAAACGGGGGCGGAAAGGTGTCCTTTGTAAGGTATAAGCCAAAGACCCAACCGTGGAGTTAAACGTGCGGGAAGGGCAAAAACGTAAACGGTCCGATACTAGCTAACCTAAGAGACCCCCCTCAACACTAACTTCACTGGCTCGGGTTTGATTAATTAGATGGCCGGCCAGTACGAGGCTACATTGGTCTGGAAGAAGAGCAAGCATTAGGTCTGTTTGTACCGCGTAGACTCCAGTTGTGTACACTACGGAGGTTCGCGACTTCGGGTTGTTCTACCTCAAATTGGAGAGGTTGTAATTCTACGTTATTTTCAGCGACAGAGAATTTCTATAGGTTCGTTTTTCTAGTCTTCCGTTTTTGTAGAATTTTTTCTCGTCGTTTCTACGGAAGCTTGTTCAGGTATTAGTTATTTCTCGCTTGAACCCTTCCAGATAGAGAGTTTGCATGCCATCGAAAGATAACGTTATCGTCAAACGTTTGAGGTGGATTTGACCAAAAATAACCGCGCTACTTGCGACATCCTTGGGAGTTGCGAGTCTTAGCTCGTCTTCGTTTTCACCTTGTTTGTGTTCTCTCTATTACATAATAAGTACCGAATGTTGTTGAGTCTTTTCCTCCTCTCACACCCGACCCAACGGCCCGCCTTTCCGTCCTCGGCAACCGCAGTCTCCTCCTCTTACCGTCCTCTCCCCTCTCCTGCTACCAACTACCTCCTCTCTACCGAAAGAGGCTACCCACGTCTGCACGAGCCCCCCCACCTATTCTTCGACTTCCATATCAAATCGTACAGACGGCAGGAGGGCAGTCGGGAGCTCTCAGGGCGAACCAAGCTCACGGGAACTCTTTAGGTCCTACGGTCAAACTCCTTGCCCAAGAGCGTCAGCGCCCTGTACATCTTTCCCTTACGCTATCGAAGGGAGAGTCGTCGGGAGGGCGGAGTGAGTCCATGTAAAAATGTATAAACAAAACACAAGAAACTTAAGAAATTGTGTTTTTCAAGGATGGTACCGTGGTGGTATGAATTTGGCTTTCTGTCAAACACCTGGATAGCCCTCTTGTACAGCTGTTCTATTGGTTTCAGGTTTGAGGCACAAGCAAACGACCAGTTTGTAAAACAGTAATCAATGGGGGATAGAATCCCACAGTGGAGGTATGACTTTGCTGCATTAGGGTGTCTTTACAGCAGTTTTATTTTTCCTCGTGGTCACTTTGACCCTCTTCCTGGTTGTCCTTTTAAGGGACATGTTGTAGGTGAAGGACAGGGTCTTATATCAATAAGACATTCCTCAGAGTTTATTTGTACGTACGCATCCCACTGTCAATCTATATTTCGATTCGAAACACTTCTTCAGAAAGGTTATGAGAGAATTTCTTATTAAAACATGTATATTTTGGTTAATATGAGTCTAAAATACCACATTACACATCCAGCATCAGTCAGGCTCTAATCGTCCCTTTTTGGTTTTGCAGCAAATCATGAAGGATCGATGGATCAATGCTGGATTTGAAGAGGACGAGCTCAAGCCTTACACTGAACCAGAGACGGACATCACGGATCAGAAGAGAATAGGTAAAAGAAAACACTGATTTGGACTTTCAAATCTCATAACTCCATTTCCCTTTGAAGCTTTATCCTCTTAAGAGCTGTGTCACCTTGTTATGTGACCAGGGAAATATCTCTTTCCTTTTGTGTTTCAGTAAAGATTTGAATATTCCATGAGAAAATGAGTTTAGCGAGGTCACAGCTCCACAACACAAAGCTCATTATATCAGCGCTGTAGAGCTTTAAAAGAAAAGATGAAACGTGATGATGAATAAATAAACCGGAGCAGAGCTGCTGCATGCAAAGAGAGAGCAGGAGTGGGAGGAAAGGGGGAGGAAAAGGGGAGGAAAGAGGGAGGAAAGCTTCCCATCGTGCCCTGGATGAAGGCTGTGATCGGGGGAGACCTTATGTAACAGCAGCTGGGGTTTGCTGTCAGTTCACAGAGAAACAGACAAACTGGGGAAGAGCTTTGTTAATGTTTCTGAGGAATCCCTGAGTGCTAAATAATGCAGTTAAAACATTACGTAAACCTCCTCCCAAATAAAAAAACAATATATTTTTAAGTCTTTTAAAGAAAAAGGCTGAAGGGAATCTTGGGTATTTTTTCAATCTGGACTTTTTTCCCCTGTGTTTGTTTCTACGTGAGTAATGGGGACAACATGTTTTTCAGTCAGTGGTCCAGTATTATGCCAGAGCGCTGCAATGCATAAAAGAAAAGTGTGCTTTTTATCCACTCATCAAACCAGGAAACACTTTGATTTAAGTATTTTCAGGAAATCAGAGCAAGAAAAATATCACTTAATCAATCAGGGGCATTAATCTGCTACTAAATCAGTTTGAAAAATCCCTAATGGTATTGAGTCAAAGCTAAATATGATGACTTTCTATGATATTAAATCTACTTTTGGTATGATAAAACAAGATTTTAAGAACTTTAGATGCTGGGAAACTGTCAAGAAATTATCATCATTATTATTATATAAAGTCAGGCTTAAATGTTAGTTTCCAGAATACAATATTTTAGTTTCAATTAAGATGTCTTTTTCTTTTAATAGTTAATTTATATTTGTCACATCTGCCAGGCTGGATTACTCCGTGTTGATGTGTACAGATTTAATTTAGAAGATGTCAGCCAGAGCAGAGCTGCAGAGGAGAGCTGCTAACCCACCGAGAATAATGGCATTAGTGCGGCTTTTAGCAGAGACTTTTAAATGTGACGTGATGATCACACACCGCCTGAGAGGCTGTTCCATGCAGAGAAATCTGTCTGACAACATGAGTCATCTTCATTTGTTGGGAGTCTTCAAGTGTTTTGAACAACATTTAATTATAGAAAAGGTGCAGTAGTCTGTATTTTGGGCTTCTTAAAGCAAGTTCCTGCAGATAAACAAGTCCTGCTGATGTGAATGCAATGCCAATCACTTGTAAAGTCAGAACTGTTGGATAATTTTAACGAATTATCACATAATATATACAAAGACACCAGACCCCATAAATCATACAAGCCAAGAGTGCATTCTCAAAATAGAAAAACTACTAAAGTATTTATCACAGTCAAGCATAACACCATCATTTAGGACATAACAATTCAAAAATGACTGACATAAACATTAACTATGTAGCACTGGGAGGAAGGAGCTCAGAAAACATACTTCTTATCGATGTATTCTATATTAATCATATTACATAATAATCTATTTTGCTTTGTTTCCAGGCTTGTTAGATATAATTATCAAACTTAAACAGCCACTCCAGTTTTCTCTCATCCTCACACCAGACTATTTCAGGGTGATTTCATGGGACATTAACTCTTAAATCATCACATTATGTGCAGCACCAGAGGAAATGTGACTCACTTTCCCACTTCACTAAAATCAGAGACATGCTGCGATGGTTACACTCATTACTCCTAACATCCCAGTTACACTTTAAAGGAGCATCTCTTTTTCTTTACTACAGCAGCAGGAGTCATTTTACATTTAGATTTACTTTATTTCATCGGAATTGTTTTTTTTGTCTTTAATCAGGAAGCTCTATTTTATGGCACACCTAAGGACAAATTACATATATTAGAAACAACATCAAAACAAAACAATGACACATGTTCCATCTGAAGTTTATTCAAAAATAATCATAACTAAACTTGTTTATTTTAGTCTTAGCTCAAAGTCATTTCCTAAAATGAAACATTTAGAGATTAATCAGATGTTTTTCAATATCCAACAACAATAAGGGCGGTGGTGGTGAAGTCCAAAGGGGAGTTGGCTTGGCAACTGGAAGGTCACCAGTTCAAGTCCCGGAAAGACCAAGTGCTACCGAGGTGTCCCTGAGCAAGGCACCGTTCCCTACACTACTCCCCGGGCGCCGTACATAATGGCAGCCCACTGCTCCTAACACTAGGATGGGTCAAATGCAGCGAAACCGTTTCGTTACATAGTACCTGTACTAGGGGTGGGCGATATGACGATATATATCGTCGAGACGATATTAGGTCTCCGCGATATGCCTTTTCAGAAATATCATATCTATCGTGATACAGAGAGTCACTCAGTCATAGAATGTGCACTCACTGCGAGTGCTGCGAGTGCACCAGGGAAGGATTTTCACGGCGGCCATGATGGCCATGCCGAAAATAATTGTACGTCCTACGGCCACCATGGCCTGCGTGCCCCTGATACTGTTAACATCTCGAAGTTGCTTTAAAAGCGTCAGAACGGTGTTTTCTGAACTGCGTTATGCTGCGTTCACAACGGACGCGATGCGAATATTGTCATCGCTCTAACCGCTGGAGTTTCACTGCGGCTGTCAGCTGTGTTGACTCCTGTCATTCAAACAGGACGCGCTGGAGAGGGGGCGGGGCTTATATCCATGTAAATACTGTGGTGGAAACCAACTACGACAAAATTAACCTATTTGACCTTGATTAAATTGTAATATACTGGAATGAAAATAAGTTGAATCTAAAAAAAAAAGCTGTTTTTTTGTCGCCTGTTGGGCAAAACCTCTTGTGCTTTCTGTCATTTTTTGGTATAAATCCTGCTTTTTTCAAATGCTGGTTGTAATATATTTAATGAGCTCATGTGTTTTGGTTTCCCCTCCAGATGTGATGGTGGGGATGGGCTACAACCTGGAGGAGATCCAGGAGTCTCTGGCTAAGATGAAGTACGACGAGATCACAGCCACCTACCTGCTGCTGGGCAGGAAGGCCTCCGAGGTGAAAACACAGACCTCTTATCAGTGCTTTACATATCATAACCATTGATAACCAAAATGTAGCTTTTTTAGGTATTTAAAGATGCTTCTTGAGTTCTTGTTTTATCATACCAAAAGTATATTTAATAACATAGAAAGTCATCATATTTAGCTTTGACTCAATGCACTTAGCGATTTTTCAAACTGATTTAGTAGCAGATTAATATCCCTGATCTATAAAGAGAAACAACATTTTATACCATCATACAAAATGTCCAACCTCTTACTACCAAAGGAGTAAAATAAAAATATTCTATCAAAATCTTTATAAAAAGTACAAAGGTATTCATATCAAGATACACAAAATGCTCCTAATGCTGGTAAAGGTGGAGCTATTGTTAGACTGCTGGGTCATTTTAACCTTAAATACAGCAATTTATTTGAAATAATGTATGTTTTGTATTGTAATCTTAATCTGCAATGACTAGTGCTGTCAAATATATAGTCAAGTAAATATGTATTTGAGTAACTACCACTGATAATAAACCTCTCATGTACTGCGTGTTTTGTCCCAGATGGAGCCCAGTGAGTCGGCCTCCAACAGTAACCTCTCTCTGGCCAAACCCAGGCCCAACAGCGAGGTCAACGGGCAGTCGCCGTCACACCTCAAAATCCAGAGGAGCGTCTCCTCCTCCAATCACAAGCAGAGACGTTACAGCGAACAAGGTGAGGAGAACGAGGGGATTGATGATGATGAGGAAGTTAACTGGATACAGAGGGGTGGAGGCTTAAACAAGTTAATAATTCTTTAAAAAGTTGCTCAGTGGCGCCATAAAACGTTCGACTTCTGATAAATAACATTTCCAGGATCTTTCTGGGGGTCTTTTGGATTTGAACACTGCGTTCTGCTTAAGCCTCTCTTACAAGATGTCACATAAATGGAGAGGAGCGAATAACTCCCTACTTACATTTGTCTATAAGAGCATTTTCCTAATTTTAGGACCTAATGGCTATTCAGGTTTTGGTACTAGGAGGTTTATTTCCCTAAAAATAATAATGATATTCTGATTTACAGACGTCTCTTTCCTTATATAAGTCAGTGTTTTTGGACCCCATGGTATCACATAACTGACTAAGAAGTTGTCATTCATGTTTTACCACAAAAACAATAGCCGCTTTCACACCAAGTACTTTGCCGTACTTAGTTCCCGGCACTTAGTACCCCCATTGAACTAAAGAGCCGTTCGCGTTCACACCGGAATAAGTCCCTAAGGGAAGATTACGCAAATGAAGCCGCTGACGTCACTTCTTCTTCTTCTGCTTTGGGTTTACTGGCAGGCCGCAAACAACTTCACGGCGTATACTTCCACCCGAAGTCCCCGGAGTTGGGGACTGGCTTCAGTAGAAGCTGCAGGGACTCCCAGCAGCTTCTACTGTTCTCATGAACTAATTTTAGTTCTGGCTCTTTTTGGTGTGAACGCGACATTTCGGAACTATATCTGAACTAAAGTGGGAAAGGTACTGCGGTGTGAACGTGCCATTGTGTCTGACTCTTGATAAAATGCATCAGAAAGCCTTATTTGTCTTTAGTAGTCAACAGGTTTTTATGCAGATAATTAATTTTAATTCACTTTAAAATATAATGCAATATAGACAAAACCTGTTGACTACTAAAGACAAATAAGGCTTTCTGATGCATTTTATCNATTAGATCTTCTTTGCATTTTGTCTATTATTTATTTTTTTGATTATTTTTTTTTTTTTGATATACATGATACTTTCTTAATGTCAGCTTCGTAAAAAAACAAACATAAAAGATATTTACTTTTATCATATTGGCTTTTTTTATTTTTTTACGACTTTTTTTGTTTTTTTTTATCGCTTTTATGCTGTAACAGTACTTTAATTTTCCTGACCTACTTACATTTTTTGGTATCTCTTCATATACACTCACCTTTTCTCTTGAAAATACGTGGGTGACCATATCTGTCCTTTTCCTGTTAGTCCCTCTCTTCTTTTCTTTCTTCCTTTTCCTTTTTCTTTTTGTAATAAGTCTCTTTGTAATCATTTGTTTGTCATATTTTGATGACTTTATATTTTTCTGTGTTAGTTTTGTACCTTCTTTATTATAAATGGGATTAATTAGATTGGTGTATGAGAAGTGAACAGACATACTATATTTTCACATTTTTTTTTTTTTTTTTTTTTTTATATTCTAGTCTCTCCGTGCCTTCACTCTGTTCTGAAATTCTGAGCCATCTTTAAAATATGATATGCCTTTGTACATTTATAACTTATTGCTTTTTAATGATATTATTTTCACTTTTTTTTTTTCCCTTCAATATTTATTTTTCAGGGACTCTAATATATTTTTATTTGACTTAAATCCTCTCTTATCCTTTAGCTATCTCTTCTTTATATCAGTGGTAAATTAATACTATATTTGCTATTTTGCGGACCAACTTTTTCTTTGTTTGTTATATGCTAAACATGACCTTTTATATCTGTTTTAGTCCTCTGTCTATATTAATCTATTTTTTTGACTATATTCCGTTCAGATTTCTCCACGGTGTTTATAACGCTTACTAAGGTTATATTTCTGTTATTTCATGTCTGTCTAATGCTTTTTATCAAATTGACATTACACAAGTCTTAGCCAGAGTTTTTATTTCAATGATCCTGTTTTTTTTTTTTCAAAAACAATACAACTTCTTAAGTTGCTTTATATATATTATCACACCTTTCCTTCTCACAACTGAATCTTTCTACTGGTGTAATTGTTAATTTATCAGAATGGAAACTTATATTATACATTGGGTCTAAAAATTTGTATGTAGATTGTTTTTCTTGTATTTATTTTATTTTTTGTGAAGCTTCTTTTTGTAATTTTCTTTTTGTTCATATTCATCCTTTTTTTATAATTTATAGGTATATATTAATGTGGAGTTGATTGATGTAGTGATAGAATTTTTTTTTCTATACAATTCCTAAGCGGTCTCCGCTTGCCTTCGCTGTTCTTTTTTTGTATTTTTTTTTTATATATTACAGTTTCTTTTTATATCTTTTTCTCTGAATCTTTCTGATCTGTTGAATCGTGGAATATGCTCCGGCAGTGACCCTCCACCCCTGGAACTCCCAAGGCATTACCTAACAGATTAAACGCACAATCAGCCCATACAGGTAAGGAATCACACTTATCTCTCAGAATAGGACTAGTCTGTCTGCTCGGGCAATGGCACACACTTAAGTATTTGACATCCCTGCCTCACATGCTCTCAACACGTCTCTGCTTAGAAAAGGTGGCCCGTGTTAGGAGGGCGGAGGCGGACCCAAAACCATTACATGTAAATACGAGGGGGGGTTGTTACAGAGCGTTTTGGATTTAATTAACTTTTGGAAAAAGAAAATAAGGTTAAATGATTGGTAGTTTAAGTGATGTAATTATCATATAACGTTATATTTGTTAATTTATTGATGAATGGTGAAAGGTAACTTTAACATTTTTTCTTAAAATGTTCTAAAAATTGTTTGGACCCGCCGTGGTGATGGGTGTTTGGGGGTGGCAATTAGGGTTGCCAAGGATTCAGCTTGGGGGGTGGCCATGGCCACTTCCAGCCAAGCTTCCGCCACTGCTTAAAGGGGGGACAGTGCTGCCTGATCCCGAAAGAATGGGGATATGTTGGTCCTGGACACCAGGCGAAGGGAGCACACTGATTTAAGTATGAATTAGCCCTTGAATAAACATGTACCTGCATTTGAATGTCAGCTAAAAGAAGCAGTTGAAATGAAAAACCTCTGAATTTTCTGTGAAGATGTTAACAGTAGCCTACTTAATGTCAGCTTAGTCACATGCTTTCACTCTGCTAGAAAAGTGCTGCGTTTGGAGGCAGGAGTCTTAGGACCAAACCATTACATGTAAATAGAGGGGGGTGTACAGACGCTTTGGATAATTAACCTTTGGAAGAAAATAAGTTAAATGAATCGTAAGTTTAGTGAGTAGCCTACTACGCAATATAACGTTATATTAATGTTAATTATTTATGAAAGGGTACTTACATTTTTTTTCTTAATGTTCTAAACATTTTGGGGCCCCCTGCTAGTCATGGGCCCTTAGAATCGTCCTAACCTTTCACCCCCTTACGGCGCCCGAGTATGCCTACACTATTGTCATTAGTGGCGTGAACGTTACCACAAAAATATAGGCATATACTTCATAAATATAGGCTATATGTAACATCTAACATTTACAAAAGTCACCTGTAATAGTTACCTTATTTAGGACTAGATGCCGTTTGCATGGTGGAGCAGCAAGGTGATGAAGGGACCTTTGAAGACAGCGCCACTGCAGCGCATGCGCACTTCTTATCTCATAATTATGACTTTTTATCTCATTATTTCGACTTTTTTATTTCATGACTTTTCATGGGGATTTTAAAAAAATTAATCGGCGGAAATGGGCTTCCATACCGTTGAATGTGGGCCGAGAAAGAAAAAAAAATGAGATTCTGAAGTGGGCCCCGAGTTGAAAAAGGTTGGGAACCGCTGTTCTAGAGAAACAATTTAAATGTCTTCAGTACTTTTTAAACAAGTAATTAATGAATAGATTGACATTTAAGTGTCCAACACTGTCTGGGAACAGAACTAAACCTGGTTGGCCTCGAATGTTTTAAAAACCATTGCTTTTACATTCTGCAATTATCTATAAGGTATTAGGTCAGGTATCCCAAATGAGTTGTTGTGCACGGATGTATTTTCATGCGAAGGCCCTTAAACTGCAGAAATGTTGACATGCCATAATAGGAAAATGAAATAATACATGATATTTATATGGTGCTTTTCCCAGGGCTCAAATACGCTTTACAAGCAAATTAATATAAAATGATAGTGGAGTTGAACTGCTTCTGATTCAGCATCCTGGTATTAAACATGCTGAGACACTTTGATGATAGCCGTTGTTAAAAATAACTCTTAATGCCTGTTGTGAAAAAGACCACTTCAGATTGGTTTCTGAAAAACAAGTCAATCACTAGATGGTATTACATATCTTCTAGCTGGCGCTTTCATCCAAAGCGACTTACAATAAGTTAAAAAAATACAAGTTAAGTGCCTCGATAAACATTCAACTGTTTGTCATCTTGCAATTTACTGATCTAGTTATCACTGTAATTAATTTCATCTTACTGTACAATATTTAATTTTCAATTCTGTTCTTTTATACATCATATTCTATTTACGTGTCTATAGACTTCTTGTACTATTTTTTTATTTGATATATGTTGCATTGTTGGAATCATAAGATTTTCATTGCCATTTCTATGCTGTAGCTTAGGTGCATATGAATCTTGAAAAATAAAGACTCAAACTCCGAACAACAGGGAAAGTGCAGATATATTCACTTCAATCAAGATCTTAAGTGCTGGTGAATTAGTTACAAGGCCTAAATTAACTCAAAGTTTAAAAAGAATTTAGCCCTAACAGATTACACACAGTTAAACAACAGTACAACACTTCTTAAAGCAAAATATACTTAGCAAATACCAATGCAGTCAAGATGTCTGATTTCTTCAAGGTTCAAAATGCACATACAAATATAAACCTGAACATGTAAATAATAGGGCCCCTTTAAACGTTCCTTTTATATAAAACAATTTCAAATATGTATGGTTCAGAAATGTGTAGCTCAGAGGCCTGTACTACGAAGCATGATTTTAGCTTAGCGAGCTAACTTCAGGGAAAACTCTGGGTTTCCGGTCCTACGACGCTGATTCTCTTCTTACCGGGCTAGATCTCCATGGTAACTTATGCTTAGCGG